CCCTTTGTTTTGGATTCTACGCACCAAAATTAATAAGAAAAAGTGTTTTCCCGAGAAATTTGGGTGCGGTCGATTTTTGGTAAAAAAGGAAGGTTATATACTTCCTTTTTTTGAGGCCCGAAAAAAAAATTGTCGCGGATCGACCCGGAAAAAAAATTTTCTTATAGAATGTGGCCTGTAGAATCCATAATTTCAAACAGTTCCAAGATTCGGCTACTAGTTCAAAAGTTACAGCCCTTTGAATTTTCTTTCGAAATTGGTTTCTATGTAGTCTATAACTTTTTATTGAGAAGTCTGATCGAAAAAGTACGAATTGTTTTGGATTCTACGCACCAAAATTAATAATAAAAAGTGTTTTCCCGAGAAATTTTGGTGCAGTCGATTTTTGGTAAAAAAGGAAGGTTATACACTGCCTTTTTTTGAGGTCCGAAAAAAAATTTGTCGCGGATCGATCCGAAAAAAAAAATTTCTCATAGAATGTGGCCTGTAGAATCCATAATTTCAAACAGTTCCAAGATTCGGCTACTAGTTCAAAAGTTACAGCCCTTTGAATTTTCTTTCGAAATTGGTTTCTAGTCTATAACTTTTTATTCATTCATTCATTCATGCATTTTTATTTAATTCCTTCGACAAATAACATTTGTATGGAACAAGTCAATATAACATTAATTAAACAAACAATTAAATATTGGAAGATATAAAAAATTCTTGTATGTTGTAGAAACACCCATTGACTAGATACTCGTACAATTTCTTTTTAAATTTTTTCCATGTAAGGAAGGTTCTTATGTTATAAGGTAAATGGTTGAAAATTTGAATTCCTGAAACTAGTGGAGAATTTTGTCCTATTTTTGATCTGGCCAATTCTGTCCTGAACTGATCATTGTTGCGTAAATTATAAGAGTGCACATCTCTATTTGTTTTTAATTTCTGCTGACTATTAAAAATAAGTTTACTTATTTCAAATATATACATGCCGGTTACGGTAAGGAGGTTAAGTTCCCTGAAGATCTCCCTGCAGGTATGAAATTTGGATACATTCGTAATTGTTCTCAGAATTTGTTTCTGAGATACAAATACGTGTTTTGACTTTTTGGATAATCCCCATAGACATATACCATACCTAATTACAGACGCAACCAACACATGATATATGTTTATTAACTGTGGTAACATCATAACCGTCCGCAAGTTCCTGAACATAAAGTTTAGTTTGGAAAGTTTATCAATGACCTTAGTACAGTGCAATTTCCAGTTTAGATGTTCATCTATTATAATTCCTAAAAACTTAGTAGAAGTTACTTTTTGGATCGCCTTACCGTCGATTAATAAATTTATAGTTTGAGGTTCACTATGGTAATTATGAAATCTAATGTAGCTTGCTTTGTTTCCATTTAGAGTTAAAGAGTTCCTGTTGAACCACTGATGAAGTTTACGTAGATTTACATCGGATATTGCTTGAAGAGAGTTATGATCTTTATCTGAGATTAATAAGGAGGTGTCATCCGCTTAAACCACACAACCAATTTGTTCATTTAGGCAAGATGTTAAATCGTTGACATAGAGTAAAAAGAGAATGGGTCCCAAGACTGACCCCTGTGGGACGCCCATTCTCACAGTTGTAGAATTTGATGTGTGTTTACTGTAAACTCCAGTTTGGTATTGAGTCAATGTGACAACCTGTTTCCTGTCTAGTAAAAATGTGGACAACCATTGCAGAGTTACACCCCTTACGCCATATTGCCATAACTTATCCAATAAGTCTGATCGATGATCGATGAAGAAGTCTGATCGAAAAAGTACGAATTGTTTTGGATTCTACGCACCAAAATTAATAAGAAAAAGTGTTTTCCCGAGAAATTTTGGTGCAGTCGATTTTTGGAAAAAAGGAAGGTTATACACTGCCCTTTTTTGAGGCCCGCAAAAAAAATTGTCTCAGATCGACCCGGAAAAAAATGTTTCTTATAGAATGTGGCCTGTAGAATCCATCATTTCAAACAGTTCCAAGATTGGGCTACTAGTTCAAAAGTTACAGCCCTTTGAATTTTCTTTCGAAATTGGTTTCTAGTCTATAACTTTTGATTGAGAAGTCTGATCCAAAAAGTACGAATTGTTTTGGATTCTACGCACCAAAATTAATAAGAAAAAGTGTTTTCCCGAGAAATTTTGGTGCAGTCGATTTTTGGTAAAAAAGGAAGGTTATACACTACCTTTTTTTGAGCCCCGAAAAAAAAATTGTCTCAGATCGACCCGGAAAAAAAATTTTCTTATAGAATGTGGCCTGTAGAATCCATAATTTCAAAAAGTTCCAAGATTGGGCTACTAGTTCAAAAGTTACAGCCCTTTGAATTTTCTTTCGAAATTGGTTTCTAGTCTATAACTTTTGATTGAGAAGTCTGATCGAAAAAGTAGGAATTGTTTTGGATTCTACGCACCAAAATTAATAAGAAAAAGTGTTTTCCCTAGAAATTTGGGTGCGGTCGATTTTTGGTAAAAAAGGAAGGTTATACACTACCTTTTTTTGAGGCCCGAAAAAAAATTGTCTCAGATCGAACCGGAAAAAAAGTTTCTTATAGAACGTGGCCTGTAGAATCCATAATCTCAAACAGTTCCAAGATTGGGCTAGTAGTTCAAAAGTTACAGCCCTTTGAATTTTTTTTCGAAATTGGTTTCTAGTCTATAAATTTTTATTGAGAAGTCTGATCGAAAAAGTACGAATTGTTTTGGATTCTACGCACCAAAATTAATAAGAAAAAGTGTTCTCCCTAGAAATTTTGGTGCAGTCGATTTTTGGAATAAAAGAAGGTTATACACTGCCTTTTTTGAGGCCCGAAAAAAAAAATTGTCTCAGATCGACCCGGAAAAAAAATTCGGTTCCGGTTGCCCGGTTTTGCTTTTCATTTACCTAATTTTCGATTTTCTCAAATTGTGACCATTATGGATAATTCTTTTAGATGTCCTGAAAATAAATTGTACCATTTTTGGAAACATCACCTAGGGAAAACTACTGGTTTCAACTTATCGGAGCGCCGGCTCATTCTAACCATGCTTATAATACGTCTTTGAACATTTTGAAGCCAATTATGAATGCGAACCCTGATGCGAACAAAACAAAAGCAAAAGCGTCTCCAATAAATGATTGGAAAGATGCTGTATTGTAAAGTCTGCTAAATTATCTATTTCTATTTTTACAAAGAAGAAGAACGTAGCGTCAAGCAAAACGTTTAGAAAAACCTTATTTTGTCTAAGTTTACACATATTATGCATACGCAACAGGTATGTACAGTTAGTAATATCACCATAATTACGTGAACTTTAGGAGAGGCTAATAAAATTGGTAAGACGCTAATGTTAAGACCGAGAAAGAGAGTCGAATACTAACAAGAAATGGTAATTAAGAATGCTGTTTTTCGAATCGCATTCGAAAACAAGTGAACCTTGCATAATCGAATGACCTTGAAAATGCCTATAACGAACTAAAGAGTGACCTTGTTTGTGGACCAAGGTCGTGACCTTGGTGCCATAACTAAATAGTGAATTTGTTTTATGTTACACTGCCAGGCAATCATTTTTTTAATTCACTGTGTGCCCGAAATTTAAACTATTTTTTACGAAGAAATTTTTAGATAAAGCCTCAAGCTTGAGATGTCTGGCATGGAGTGGAGTGACAAGCTATAAACCTGTGTAACAATTTTCAAACAGGCCACGATGGGATAGTAAAAAGGTTTCCAAGCTCATAGACTAATTATACTAAAAGAGCGTAAATTATGGTTAATGTCCATCGTAAGCATGAAGTATTATAGTGTAGAAAAAATTTCGGTTTTGAAAAGGTGATCTCACGACTTTTACCACTAACCAAAATTGTTAAAAAGTTAGGAGTATTGAGCACAAAAGTTTAAACTTTTGTATGCATACCAAAAGTTCCTCAGTTTTTGTCAGCTAAAGCAGCATCTTCAAGTCCGTCAATGGTCATCATCGTTGCTTACAAAATCTTCACAAGATCTTTTTCCTACTTTTAGCTATTTTCAAAAGCGTCCCTGGATGTTATCGGACCGAATGACGCTACCGCTCCTAACGGACGGCTCCTTCACCAACCTTGGCTACGCCGTTGGACAAAACCATCACGTAAGAATTTTTCCAAAGAAATTCCCCTAAAAATCACTCTTACTTCCCGTTTTAGCCATATATTTTACCCAAAATCGTCCTGTAACCTTCATTTTCATGCCTACTTTCTGTCAGAAAATTGTAGTTTCCATGATAGAAGCAGAGCAGACTACATTTTCAGACTATAATGACTTATGACATCACTGACAGATTGACGGTAATCAAAAGTTCTGTATGAAGATTGAAATTTTATATTAAAATACGATTTCGTGTAAAATTTAATACAAAACTCGTTAGTAAAATGGCAATACCTGACTTGGAAATTAAAATGCTCGGCCCCAAAGGGACCTCGCACTTCAATATTTCCTCGTCCGTAATGTATTATTTTCCGGATGTAAATGTAAATGTAAATAACTATAAACTATAAACTAAATTTAAACAAAAACATTTTACTAATCCGTAACGGGCCGTAAGTGTACGCGGTTACTTCACTGGAACGCTTTCGTCAGATCTAGACGTCTTTTACCGGTATTAATTGCCACAACATTTGATTGTTGATACTCATACTTGCATAAAATAGGCTATTATGTACAGAAATTAAATTTCAAAAATTATTTTGACATATGTCTAACCGCAATAATTAAAGTCGCGTGCAGCGTACAAACAATTATTTAAAATGTAATCAAAAGAACGGTAAATAAACATTCAATTGAAACAAATTAGTAGAACAGTAGTACATCTTTAACTTAGGCACTAACTGTAATATTTACAGTATAAACTAAGAGAATTATGTGGACACGCTTCAAATACTATAATACACTAAACTTTAAAAATGTTAACATAACAAGTCATATGTGCAGTTACCAACGTACTTGCCGGAGAAGATGCATTGCAGAATGTACGAGTTTATAATTATCGTAACACTAACGCTATTAACTCTAACGAAAGGTGGTGATTACAGTGTGATAGATTTAAGTGATATTTTAAACGTCGATTATATGCCCGGTAGTTTGCTAGTGTTAGAAAATCCCGAAGAAATTGGCCCGGAGAATGCCACAGAAATCGATCTTATGGAACACCATGGTACTATGCGCGATGCCCTAACCACGATGAACTTCCACAGGTAACTCGAGTCAATTTTTATTTAATTCCTAATTGCAATATTTCCTGTAGAAAAATGATGAATGAGTATTTATGTCGGAATTATATCTCCGAACAAATTATTTCGGAGATGAGGTCGTCACGTATCCGTCGTCGATTAGGCAATCCAATGGAGAATCATGGACGACAAGCAGCTACATTCCCAACGAGTAATTTGTCGATCAAGAATAATCTGATAGAAGATGAGGGATCGGCAGGTTATCAAGATTGGTTAAAGAAGTAAGTTGTAGTTTATTTACGAAAAGAAAATTATTTAAGCGGATTTTTTAAACTTAAAATTGTTATTGCCGATAAAAATACGCGAAATGGTAATAGTAGACCAAAGACAACTATTGAGAAAAATCTCTGGAACTTGAAAATGCAGTTTTGATCTCCAATTAAACTTGAAATACAAAATACTACTCAAAAAGCGTAAAAATGACAGCTTTCGTAAAAAAATTCCTTTGCATATTTTTTCCTGAAGTTCATAATTTCAGAAATATAAAGATAGATCTTAAATTCTGTAAGATAGAAAGCACTAGCTAGTTTACCGGTATCTCATGATACTCCATTGTAACTTGCCGGATTTTTTCCCTATACCGGACCTTCAAACAGTCGGCACTATTGCTAACTTGGTAATTAGATAATAACGGTTGGCAGAGTTGGCGCAGCGTTTCCTCAAACCCACCGTATAAACGGTCAACTAGTTCAGGGTTAAACAAGTAACAATACAAGCTTGAGATCTGTCACAGCGGTAGTTAATTATGGGAATTTGATTTTCGTCCTTTGTTGTACTTACCAACGGTTGAGCGCCACACAATTTCTATCTTAACTTTCCTCGTATGAAATTGGAGAAGATTCGAGGGTAGTAAAAACAGTGCAAATCAATTTAGATACAAAAAATACTGGTTTATTCAAACAAATGGCAAAATTCACTCCACAATGGGGTAGCGTAACACACAAATATTAAAAATAATCCCTCAAATACTCAAAATTATAATTTAAGTTACTCAAAAATATTAGTAACTTCAATGTACAATTAAAATTCTCCGGGATAACAAACCCCCAATCAAAAATGATTGATTGTTTGATTATTGAAATTTCCAAAAATTAGTAAACTGATATTTCGGGCAAAAATTTGCACGTACAGGCTACAAGAGTACAAGTAAAACATATAAGGCAACCAACACGTACGTTGCATAAGTTATATCGTCGACGCCAACTAGTGAGCTCAGTTCTCGCATCCAAAACCTGAAATCAATCAAAAGAAAACCTCCCAAACCGCAGAGCTCAGTATAATTGATCGACTAATGCCTGAAGGGTCTCGCTCTACTCGTAATCTGCTTCTATAACAGGTACAGTACTTAACCGGCCACCCTCTCTCCATAAGGAAGTGGCGGACTGCAGTAATATTCGTTTTTCAAACTCGGACTCATTTCACAGCAAATGGCCGCTTGTTATGAGCAGGTGGAAGATGTGTTAAGGGCGTGCGTCGGCATTCGCAGACAAAATGGCGAGCTTAATCCCCATTCGTATGTCGAATCAGAAATCGTATGTAAGGTAACGTATCCGGTCTTTAAACTTGTACTTACAATTAAAAACTAAAAAGTCGAGCCGGAGCTTGAATCCTTAAAGCGATTAAAGGTAACAACTCTCTTCGTTGAGGTCATAAAATGTACATAGCTATTTAATAAGAGGGCTAATCGTATATGAAGCAGGGCCTGTTAAAAACAGTGCTGTTCATCAGTAACAGATCATCAGAAACAGATCTACTAATCAGAAACAGACCTGATGATTTTGTTTAACTGATCTGTTGCCGTCAACTGACCTGTTTCTGATCAACAGAACAGACTTGTTTCTGATGAATAGACGTGTTTATGATGGCATGCTTCTGATGAACAGACCTGTTTTTTAACAGACCTCTAGTTTAGACAACAACCACGATGACCTTCAGTAAGTTTAGACCACGCCTGAACCTCACGTCTTGCACGTCATGTGACTGTCTCGCATAGGTGGCCACTTATCTACTGACGTACATTTACTCTAGCAATGCGCTAACAAAAATGTTCTCTCACGACTTTCTTGCAAAACTATCTCAGGCTTGCCCAATGAATTTGAACATAATGGGATCAGGCTAGTGCTTATTTGGGTCCCTGGGGCATGTATGAATTTAGGGAAATCAGAAAGTAGACAAGGTAGAAGGAAAGCAAGCAGTAGATGTAGAGATGATGAATGTAAAGCATGAAATAGTACCTACCTACATCTAAAAACAAAGAATGTTATTATATTATATTATTATATGGGAACAATTCTGGGAAACAACAAATACACATTGCACAACAGTGAAGGGAATGCTTACTTGACGAGGAGAGTTCAATAGATAACAATTTCTGAAAATAGATTCCCAAAATAAAATTGATCTCGTGTTATGTGCTCTTCTTACTATGTCTTACTGCTTTACAAATCCATTTTTTTTGCAGAAGCGCCACTCTGGAAGACATCTATCGCCACTACGACTCCCAAAACCACGACAATCAAGAAGTTAGTCGAGACGACGCGGAGGATAATGAAGAATTCGATGGGCACATAACGGGATACGCTTACCAACAACCCCATAACCTAGGATCTCCGGCTAAGTTTGGACACAGTGGAACCGGGGTGGGGTATCCTTCTTATCATGGCGGCTACGGCGGCGGGCATACGAGTGGTAGTGGTACGGGTGGGGGTGGACTACTCGGATATAATTCCGGTGGACACGGTGGGGGTGGATACGGCATTGGATTGGGAGGTCATGGAGGAGGGGATTTAGGCCACGGTGGCGGTTTTGGTGGGCACGGTGGGAGCGGATACGGTGGTCATGGGGATCATCTGTTTGGTGATGGTAAGGCAAATGTTTTGTGTTTTAGGAAAAAAAATGCAATGATTTAATTTCAGGTACGAACGGACATCATGGGCACGGGGTTACAGCAATTCATGAATATCACAAGCACCACGGGGGAAATGACAAGGATAAATTGGCAGATTTATTCGACGTAGCTCTAACTGCACTTGCTTATCTTTCATTTGGAATGTTTATTGTTCAAGTAATAATGTGTGTATCAATGGGGGTAAGATGTACAAAACAAAAATTACTTATAACTATTTTCAACTCTTTAGACGACCACCACGACAACCACAACAACAATGGCTCCGGCGGTTATGAATCTCGCTGCAAGTTTTGGAGGAGGTATGAATAGAGGTGAACTCATGGGTGGTGGGAATCAGGGTAATGACGGCATAGGTGATGATGCGGATATGGAATTAGAAGATGCCGACTTTGATGATGCTGTCGAAGAAGACTTTGGTGATGGTTATGTTAGAATTGGGAAAGGTGCGGGTTCGGGTTCAGTTAGTAAAGTAAAGATAGTATGGAATGGTTGGGGTTCAGGAGGTGGTAGCACCTATACATGTTGCATGTGTAATACCCATACCTTGTTGCAGGTACCACGGGTGACGACGAGGAAGTCGAAATAGATGGGTTTAGTGGAGAAGATAGATCCAAGGCAAAAATTAGGGGCAGACGAGAAATACCAATTATTACACAAGGAAATAATGCGCTTCTCAACGAACTTTCGAGACGAGTGCTAATGTCTATAGAAGCTGCATTAATTGCCAACCAAGATGATGGTAACTGCTTGAGACGTACTTTATGCGAGAACAATTTGTATTCAAGAAACCTAGAAGATAATCAAAAGTATTGGATGCCGGTCTGGAGGTATCTAAATTTTAAATAACTAATTCAAATGTAATTCCATTGTCTTTAGCTTGGGAATGAGTTGGTTATCAGGAAGACTAATACAAGGATTACCTCGTACAACTTCAATGTTGGACAGCTTGAAAGCATCGATCCTTGGATTAGGAAAATCAGATTGCGAATTCATCTACAACCAATGCGATTTGGCAAATGAGAGACAAAAACGACGGCGACGGAGAAAGAGAAATGCATAAAATACGTACTCATTCCCTTAGAAATTAGGAATTGTGTATTATCTGAAAAGGTGTTCATTTCTTGTTGCAACAAAGCTGACCTCTTTCAATAAAGTGTACAGATACTTCAAAACAATTTCTTTCTCCGCTCACTCACAGTAAGCCTTTCGAGTTGTAGATGTCGCGCAGTGGTCGTATATAACTTAAAATCAATACGCATTTTATAATAACTGAAACTTAGATGTAAGGGTACCTACGTAATTTTTCTCTTTACAAACGGATTTATGGGAAAGGACATTAATTTCGAGCGCTTGTGGATTTTATTTTTCCTGTAATTAGGTATCAAGTTTCCAATTTGAGGCCTTTGCGGCTATAATTTGCACAGAATCTATCTGGGAGATTTACGGAAGCTACTCTGTTTTTTATTACAGGTATTTTTATTATTTGAAAATTTTTGTATATACATTAGCGTATATGCATTATTGGCACTTGCTTTAATATGTGACCGAAAAACGTGATTCAGTCAATAACGCATTTTTACTGCAGTTGTGGGGTTGTGGTTTTCGAATGTTGTCGAATCTCACATTCTTGAGCATGTTCAGTTGCTTTTTATCTAAATAAATTAAAACAGTTTATATAATATGTAATAATTATATTTATAATCATACAATAAGAGTTAATCCTATATGCACCTACAAAAGCTGCACACAATTCACTGGGGATGCAGAAAAATAGGTTTGCGATTACACTTATAAGAAATTCCAAGAAGTCGTAACGGCAGTGAAAAAATTGATTTACTGAAGTCAGAAAAATAAAAGACTATAGCAATACCGACTCAACAACTTATTTGAAAAAGAAGACACGACACACGATTAATGATTTAAGTAGATCGTAAATCAAAAAACACTGATTTCAAAACAAAAAAAATTCATGTCCAAAAATGTACGGATTACTAAGGATTCATAAAGGAAGTGATTGTCCACTACGACCCCACCCACTATTACGTTCGACCCTCTAACACACGGTTTTGCTAAAGAACTTGCTAAATTTTAATCCGGAACTTTTCGGATAAACTTAGGAGAGTTAAATTAGTCATTTTAGTCAGTTTCGACGTAAAGTTGTGTTTATAAAAGATCTGGTTGGAGAGAAGATCCACTATGCTTTCGATAAATTGAGAACTTTCTTGTAGAAAAAATAGATTTAAACAAATTAAAAAATGTTCCTTTTACCTACATCAGCAAATATATAAAGAATTCGACGATAATGCGAACAAATAAAAAAGTACAGATTTTAATTTAGTTATACTGATTACAAGTAATGGTGAATTGCTATGATTCGAATGGCCTAATGGGTCTCATTATGAAGCGTTTGTTTTTACAAATCTCCCTTATATAACACACCCACTGCGATGCTTTAACTGTCAACGTTTTGGTCATGCCTCAATCAACTGTAAATATACAGAAATGTGTATATGTGGAAAAGGCATTCATTAAGGATCCGCTTGTGAGATTCCTATCGAGCGCCCCAATTGTAGCGGTGCTGGGCACCGTTTCCAAAGAAATAATCTTGAGGTCCGCAATCGGGCCACTAATCAAAACAAATTGCTAGCGAAATGAAAATATTGCCAGAAACGACCAATTTGCACAATAATAACAGTACACATTAATTAGACAATTAATTAACAATGAACTTTATTAATTAAGAGATAATTGAATCACAGACCGGTATTTAAAATGCTAAGAGCTCTTTGGTACTAAATTGATTAAGGATCGATGGTTTATCTAAAGGCACTGGACAATTAGGCAGCTGCTTAACTAGTATGAGTGGTCGACTAGATTAAGTCGAAAAGAATATGGCGTATACTTGCGCCGGCCGATAATGATGTGTTGCACGCCTGGACCTGATGACTTTGATAATGCGTCGCGATGCGATGCTGAGCTGACTGCTGACGCTAATGGTATCGGTGACGGTAGCGGCTCTCTTAATAGTTTTGGTACAGCTGACTGCTGTATCTGGTAACGCAGATAACGGTACGCCACTCGCAAACTATGACCAGTTTCCTCAATCGATCAACGGACGGATAATACCCATATACAAACGACCAATCTACATGCACGAACATAATTACTAACAGCACAATGCTTTGTAACATTACAAGAATAACAATATGCATACCATTAAATTAAGACAATAGTGACATTCGGAACTAATATTATAATTATGGCAAACGTACTTACTTGCACAATAATGATGCTTAAACTTAAAAGTAACAATAAGGAATTAATAAGTTTCTGGCAATTGATAGCTTAACGGCTTAACCGCATTCGAGAAAATGAGCGAGTTCCATAGCGTTTGGCCACAACGCTAAATATCTCATATCGCGAGCGACTCATAACAATTGCGCATAGTATTCAAGTAAATCACCCATGAATATAGGGTGTACCGTAACACAATTGCCAGGGATCCCATAGCGCCATATCTAATCGTGTCCTGTATATAAAGAAGAGGCAAAGATTCAGGAGACTGAGGTCACTCATAAGCTATCATACAGCGAGGCAAAAAAGCAAGTAAGTACGCTGGCGATGCCGGTGGATATCGCAGCGATAGGTGGTCGCATCATCAGCACCACAATCATCGGATCTATTACCCAAAAATTTTATAAATCAAATACAAACCTTCATTGGAGGATGAAAGTTTTGGCGAAACAAGGAAAAAGAGAGCAGTCTCGGTCTGAGTCCTGAGGCTAGGGCTAATAAAAAAGAAAAACCTGAAGAAATCGCTTCTATATCTAACTGTGATACGAAAAGGAAACCAGAAACGCATCGTTTGCTTTCATGTATTTATTACCCCTCTCTAGTACGTCGGGTACATGGCTAGAATGGGGAAAATACTGCACTTTTTGATTGGAATATGCCACTTTCTGTGGTAATAGTTAATACCAAAAGGCAACTTTTGAGATAGAGAGCCACTCGAAAATCCGTGCAGGAAACCAAAATGGTGGCCGTCAAAATGGCGCCATTAGCCGCAATATATTTTTTGTATCTCTGCTCCTAATAGTCCGATTTTAATTTTCTTTTTTTTTATTGAAAGCTCTTTTGACGAGGAAACTTTTTTGCATTTCTCTCTAAAACTTAAGGATTTAGCACAATTTTAAAAAAGTGTTTTTTTTACGAATTTGAATCACAAGTAAGCTCTTAATTGTGCAATATCCCGGTCTTTTCGACAAAAAAGGCCATCGTTTAGAAATTCAATCGATACAACCCCAAAACTCCTTGTATCTACCCTGCAAGTTCGGAAAATTTCAATCCGCCATGTTTTTTTTTTGAAAAAATACGCAATATTCGTTTCATCAGGCACGAGATCAAGCGTTATGAAAATTTAAAGGAAAAGCCTCGTCAATTTTTTTCTCTGAAAAACAGAAAATACACTCTGCTTTTAAAGTAATTAAAGAAACACTCAGTATATCAACTTTAACTCTTACTCTCGCTCTTACTTATCCTATTTTATTTAACTAGTTGGTGAAATTTGGAGTGCTTATTTATCAGATCATGGGTTTTTTCGAGGGTTTTCTCTCGGGTTTTCTTTAAGGATATTAACGGAATATTATGATTTCCAAGTTTTAGATACCTATTCATATAAGTTCAATCATTTTTATTACACAGGGAATCCACCTTCTGTAAGCTGACGATAGACCCTCAATGGTTAAGATTAATGGTAACGGTTTGTTGAGACAAGAAGCCTGAGGGGAAGCCTAAAACGTATTTTTAGGTATATAGGGTGTTCTCGAGAGCAGTCTATACATTTTGATATTTTTTATAGGTATCCCCGGGTATCCCTTAACAAAAGAATTATTTTTGTAGGTCTTATCGTTTTTTTTTCGTAATGCTAACCGCGAGGCTAACCGTTTTCCGGATATGCTTTTTATACAGGGTGAAATTTTATCTTCAAAACATTTTTTAAAGAAGCTTTTTATGACATCCATAATTATGAAAAGGTTGCTACCAATCCACGTATTTGGGGTCAGTAGCATACTTCTGCACAGTCAAAGGGAGCATACCAGGGGGCATACTGTTTCTAAATAGCAACCACTATTTTCTTGACGTAGTGAATTATTTGTAGATACAAACTGATACAATAAAACTCGTTTTTCAAATAATTGAATTTTAATATTTCTTTAGCTAATCGACTTCGAATCGTATAGACCGATTCATCATCAGACCCTAAGAGTCAGAATATTGTGCTGAATAATACAAATCCTTAGATATTAACATTTGACGTGGACATGTTACACATAAAAATCGGGTTGAGCTTACTTGTGATTCAAATACACTTTTTTAAATTGTGCTAAATCCTTAAGTTTTAGAGATAAATGTTATATAGCAAAAAAGTTTCCTCATCACAAGAGCTTTCACTCAAAAAAAAGAAAATTAAAATCGGACTATTAGGAGCAGAGATACAAGAAAATATATTGCGGCTAATGGCGCCATTTTGACGGCCACCATTTTGGTTTCCTGCACGGATTTTCGAGTGGCTCCCTATCTCAAAAGTTGCCTTTTGGTATTAACTATTACCACAGAAAGTGGCATATTCCAATCAAAAAGTGCAGTTTTTTTTGGCGTACCCAACGTACTACTCCTGTTCTGGGCCCTCAACAGGCTTGCACCCAATTACAGAGTGAGTCGCGTAACGCTTTTTAGAAGCGCCTCTGCAGAAGGTTTTTTTTTTAATTTTTTCTCGAATTATAAGATTATTTTATTATAAGATATCTTATAATTAGAGAAAAAATTTAAAAAAGACACACTGTCATAGTCATTGGCTGTACCTATCATTAGTCTGTAAAAAAAATCAGCCTAACCTAGTTATATCCGTAGAAAGTTCGTGAAAAACCGACTAAGAATTATTTCTTCTTCTTAGTTAATCAAATCTATCTATAAATTGGCACACTTGTAGGAGTTAAGAAAGTAATTTGTCTGATTTTTATTTCTCATTCATGCTGAAGTGAGAACGATTGAGTTGCACGAAAATCGCGCAAACACACTCATCCTCCGTGTCACTTTATCTTTCTCCCTCTCGCACGAA